GTCCCCACGCTCAACTTGGTTGGTATTTTCTTGCTCCTCAGGTTGGCTGGTAATATCATGGAAATGATTCCCTTTCGGAGAAATTACAGGATTTGAAACTTCTGAACGAACATCTTCATTCGACACTTCTTTAGCCTGCTTCTTGTTGTGAAAAGCCTCGGGTTCCGTATCTTCATCAAGACACTGATGGTCCCGCTTCAATTCGGTACTCGGAGCGCTCTCTTTCCCCAACGGCTCATTTGTAACTGCAGCCAAACCAGCTGCTTCTTCTCCCATCCAATATATATTCCTCCAAATCTGCAGAGCCAGTAGCTAACAATCCCGCAAACCCAATCGGCAGCATCCAAAAAGCCCAGGCAGAGTGGAAATGAAAACGAGATTCACGTAAAAAACAGACTAAAATTCCTTGGAGCTTGAGAATTCGAGTACTAAACTTCAATAAAACCTAAAATCGTCCAAGTGAAAAGTATCAGAAAACCATTAATTCCGAATAACCGCCGGCTGTTATCATCAATTCACGCGTAAAATCAAAAAAATCTAACCTCGACGCCCTTCTTGAAACCAAATAGGAACAATCCGATAAGAACAACTGAAGAATAAAAAAAAAATTAAAATAATTCAAGCCGCGAACACCAGAGCCTCCGATTGAATTCCCAACAACTACGGATCTGAGATCTGCACAGTCAGCAGCAGATTTCAGGTTTGTATAGAGTAAAATCGATCGGAATACGACGAAGAGCGGATTAGTTAGGGCTAGGGTTTTGTCCGCGAAAACCTGAAAGAGAAAAACGTGAGAGACGAGCAGGGCGGCAAAAAACCGAAATGGAAAAGCTTTTGGTTCGCGGTCAAGATTTAGCTCTGGACAAGATAGACATAAGCTCCACGGAAAAAAATAAAAATAAATAACATATTTATTTATTTTAAAAGCAACAACAAAAATAGTGAAGTTCGTGACGGTTCACGATCTTTAGAAGGAGCGAGATGACGGTTTGAAAAGCCCATGGGGTCTACTTTTTAATCCAATAAGAAACTAACACGTAGGATTACTCGCCAGCATTGTACTTGCGTGGAGGCTTGTAGTGATGATGTGTCTCATCTACAGAATCAGGACCACTTTATTAGCAGATACTTTATGAGCCTTTTTATTTTCTTAATTAAAAATATTTGATTTTTCTTTGCCTTTGGGCTTTTCCTTCCTTATCGCTTGATGACGTGTAACTTGAAGATCATGGCGGTTGTTTTTTTGTGTCAGAAACTTAATTTTGGGCCGTTAGATTATTCCACGTCATTGTGCTGAATTTGATTCTTTTTTTATTGTGGGCTTTGGGCTCAATGGACTAGATTTTAGTTTGGTTAGCCTCAAGGCCGAATTACTTAGTGAACGTTTATTGGGCCCATTTGAATTTAGGCCCAAATATCATGGGCTCAACTACAAAGGATCAAATAATTATACATGGGCAGGTTTATTATATACTTAGAGTTAATTGATTGGGCTGAATAAATTCTTAGGCTAAAATAATTATAATTTGTCTCCTAATTAAGGTTATTTTAGATAATTTGATGATATTAGTATTTAAACATCCCAACCAACGCGGCATGCGTCCGTTCGCAGAGGCAGTTAAAAAGTTTCCCCATTTCAATTTCCCACGGCGGTAGTTTCCATAAATTCCGGAGTTCCGATGTCTTTTCCATAAATACCCTTCCATTTATAAATAAAGACCGTTGGTTGCAAATTAATTTTTCACTTTTCATTTTGTAAAAAAATAAAATAAAATAAAAATACCAATTATATATACTTATTTATTTAATTTGAAACCATGATTTTTTTTTATTTCCGTATAGAAATTAAAATTTTAAATTTTAAAAATGGTGCGAAATTTATAATATATTCATATTTTTTAAATATTTGCATCGAGTAAATCTATGGTATTGGCTCAAATACTCCAAATTTTCGATATTAATAAGGTTGACGTATTGACTAAAGACAAATTAAATATATAATATTATAATAGATTACATACGTCACCACCGTTAAAGTTCATTTTTGGTACGTATTTATTAAAGTTAACCGAACGATCTATTACGTAGAAAATTAAAAGTTCATAGATTTTAATGTTATCTTTATTAAACTATTATAATTCAAGTGATTACGATGTGAACATAAATTAGAATAATATAAATATAGTTGGGTAAATAGATAAGAATTCGAAATTCTGGTAAAAATTAAAGATTTGAATATTTTAGGTATTGATATTAGGTTGAAGATAAATATGAAACAAAATACTAAAGTAAACGTTATATAAAACCAGTCAACTCTACCGTTACGCCGGCGACACACTATTTATCTCTGTTCACTGTTCTCTTCTCTACTCACAAATCCACTCTCAATTCTGAAATCTCCGGCGGAAAATGTCGCAGCGACAGGGCAGGCACCAGAGGAGGCCTTCGCAGAGCGTGTTCATTGCAGCGGATTACCTCTCCGAGCCGCCACGGGCAACCGGACCGGGATCTGCCGTTGAACATGCAGGTCCACACTCGACTCACCTTCCTCGCCCACCGCAGCAGAGTCGCAACGCTGATCCAGCGGCGCCAAGGCCTCCTGCTCCGGCGGCGTCGAATGAAGCTCCGAATCCGACAAACTAGCGGACCAAAAGCAGGGATCAACGATGTCGTTGTGTCGTGTCGCAATATGAAGATGAAGATGAATTTCGCTTTTAGCTTTGGATCTGTGGTTTAATTTCTGCTTTTTTTTTTCGGTAATTTCTAGATTAGGTGTCCTTTATGTAATCTTAGTCACAGAAGTTGTGTGGAAATTTGGTGTTAAATCTAAGCTCATCTGGTTCGGTTTTTTTTATTTTTAATTTAAATTCCAAACCTATCAAATTGCTTCTATTTTTACCCTAAAATTTTGATTTAATCAAATAATCCACCAACTTACTCACAGAAGTTTGATTTGATGCATGCAGTTCAGAGAGAAAATCAAACCAAATTTGGAAAAAGTGGTTTTTAAATATTATTATTATTATTTTAGACGGCTCCAAGGTTTAAAATAAGGTAATTTGGCACAAATATTTAAATAGAGATAGACGTGGATTCATGTGGTACAATAATTATAAAATGAGAAGAAACAAACAGAAAAAATAAAAAATTGTTGAGGGGCATTTTAGGAAAGGGCAAAAATGGAAGGCAAAATAAAGGTGGGCATTTGCAACAAACACAAGCAATGCCCAATGGTGGAAAAATGGACGGCGTGGAAAGGATGTGCTTCTTTCTTTTTATTATTATTATTGAAAAAAATTAAATATTATTATTATTATTATTTTCTTCTTTTGGTGAGGAGGGAAAGAATTGCGTTGGATCGACGCAGTGGAAGGAATCTCGGGAAAGAGAATTGGGAGTTATTTTTATCCCATTTTTAAGTTTTTTAATTTTTTATATTTAAATTATAATAAAATATGTCAACCAAGAAACTGAAACTCGTAGCCGCCCAACTTCGCCGAGCTGCACGCCGTGTGTCCGTTTTGTTGTCTTTTATTTATTCCCAATATATCGTTTTTTCTTTTAATTTTCAGGGAAAAGCTCAATTTACATTTTTATTTAAATTTATATTTTAAACCATTGGCTAATAATTTAAAATCGGCGTAATATTATCTAAATAAATTTTGTTTCTCTATCATAATTTTTCAAAAATTATTTTCTAATCAATAAAGAACCATAACGACAAAACACCCAAATTTAATTTAAAAAACCTTCAAATTTACGTGTTAATTCGGGTTGATATTGTCCACCTTGAGCAGAAACTTCATGATTTTGCTTTAGGTTTCCCAAAATGTCTCATACCAATGAATATAGTATTAATTGATTATAAACTCGTTATCATTTCCTAAATGAACCGATGTGGGACTTTCATCCAACCATCCTTACGTATTTAAATAAGTTATACATGTATCAAAATTAATACATTCACAATTTTTAAAATGAAATTTTAATAAAATGTTTAAATTGGTTCGATTGTAAAAGTTTAAAGGAATAAATTCCAATAGTTAGAGGGACAATTTTTGCCATGAAATATTATAATTAAATTTAAATTAAATTTTAATTTACTTTCCATATTATTATTTTCAATAATTTGGTTGATTTTGTATCTTAAATTTATTCTTTATCTGACATTTGTCTTTAAAAGTTTAATACATAATTTAAAAACTAAAATATAATAAACTCCTAGTTTTATGGACTAGAATATAAACAAATTAAAATTAATTTGTAAAATCATAGTGTGATTTCAAAATATATTTTATTGATGAATTAATAATATAATATGTTTTCTTATTAAATGCTCGTAAAATTCATTTATAAATTTTAGAATTCTCTATTTCAATTGGTATAGAATGTAGTAACATTTTTACTCGAAATTATATATTATAAAAAAAATAATTTTTTTCGTTAGTATTTTAAAATTAAGCTTATGAGTATATTTACATCTATTTAAATTATGAATTCTTAATTTGGTGTATAACATATTAATAAATCTTAATAAATAGATATTTATAAAAATTATATAAATAAATAAATATCGATCATGAACCTTTAAAATTCTAAATTCAGAGGGCCGATCTTTTTATTTAACATAAAATTTATCAAAAAAATAAAAGAAGAAAACTACTTGATGACAATAATTTTATTATTTATTTAAGATTAAAGGTTTTATTTTGTTAAGTCAAATTAAATTTAACTTAGTAGATGAAAAGGAATTTAGAAAATTTGAAATAAAAGATAATAAGGTTAGTTGAAGCCGAATGAGCCGGCTTATATGAAGATGCGGCGCAGCCAGAGGTACCGCCCCACGTCCATGGACACGTGGCGAATGTTGGTTGGATGGTCATCATTCACTGCCAGCTGTCAAATGTAAGTCACCGCCACGATAGCGTTGCTCCCGAGCACCAACACAGAGAAAAAAATAATAAATAATAAGAAAAAGTACCCAACAAGAAAACCACTATAAAAGCCGGTCTACATTTTTTTCTCATTTCTGAGCCCGCCTTCTTCATCATCTTCATCATCTTCATCATCTTCATCGGAGCTTCTTCTGTCTCCTCAAAATGGTGAGTTCTTCTGAAGTTTACTTACTTAATGCTATTATTCGTGGTTTGACGATCGTTTGGTTCTTGAGAAAGTAGGATTCTATATCTAGTTTGCAACTTTCAAAATAACTACACTCTTGCGATCGGGAGTTTCTTGCAATTTGCGGAGTCTTTGAATCTTTGTATATAACTTTGAAGTCGTAATCCGCATGCAGTTTCTGTGGTGGGGAGTGAATGCGTTCTGTTCCCTAGGAGATCGGATTTGAATTCTTCTGTGGTTGTTTCAACTAAACGAAACTTCATGTTCTTTGATTTATTGTCGACTTTGAGTGATCGAGTGGCCGTGGATCTATCACGATCTTCGTTTTTATTTTTGCACTTTTTGTTATGTTACATTTGAAAATTTCTGTCAAGAATTGCAATTACAAGTTAATATTTGTATATTCCCCCTTTTGAACCTTTTGAATTGCTATTAATCTTCATATGCATGTTGTAAATGAGGGGGAAACTCTGTTAGGTTGTGATGCCTGCCTCTGATCCATATTTTGTTTGTTCCTTTGTTTTAAGTTTGAATGGAAATCAATATCAATTATCAAGCTATGGATAAAAGCTTATGGGGGGAAAATCTTATCCTCTCCATATTCTTATCTTGCGTGGCTGAGGAAGAGAATCCATACCATTTACTTGCTACATGATTATCTTACTTTGACTTAGTGGTTCTTAAAGCTGGAGCCGCCTCTGAAGTGTAAGAAAAAGGTTTTTAAGAAAATAAGCTTCTTGTTTGAGATTGTATGAATGTTTATACATTGCTTTCTCTAAAATATTAGAAAATAAAAAGTAGGAAGTCACTCTCAGTAGCTTCGTTAAGGGAACTTTTGCTTCAAAGGCTTATTTGAAGCAAGGCATAAAGGCTGACCTTGGGGCTTAAGCGTGTCTTGGTGCGTGCCTCGGTGGGCTTCTTAAAACACTGATTTGACTAAACATGACTATAAATCGATGGCTAAGATAAGGCTCTCAAGGGAGAAACAGAACAATTGTTGAAAATTTGAAAAATCTGATTAGATCAGAAAAATTCTCTTGTTCCCAATTTTATGCATGTCCAGTGTTGGGTTAAACATCAATCACCCCACTGCTTTGCTTTGTAGCCTTTGTTTGTATTGCGGTATTACCAATAACGTTTAATTTCCAACTTTGTTCTTGCTTTTCAACTCTTTGTGTATGCATCTCTTCTGGACTTCAAAATTTTATTGAACAGCTTCGTTCTGGATTTCATAGGCCAATGCAGCATCGGGAATAGCCGTGAATGATGATTGCAAGCTGAAGTTTTTGGAACTCAAAGCAAAAAGAACCTATCGCTTTATTGTGTTTAAGATCGAAGAGAAGCAAAAGCAAGTTGTCGTAGAGAAAGTTGGCGAGCCAACACAAAGTTACGAGGACTTTGCTGCAAGCCTTCCTGCAGATGAATGTCGTTATGCTATCTATGATTTTGACTTTGTTACCGAAGAGAACTGTCAGAAGAGCAGAATCTTCTTTATTGCCTGGTATGGCTGATATCTCCTTTACTGCATTCCTTTCATGTTTATCTTTCCCACCACTGCGGTCTTACGAAAACACCATTGCTTGAAGGTCCCCTGATAATTCAAGAGTCAGAAGCAAAATGATTTATGCCAGCTCCAAAGATAGATTCAAGAGAGAACTGGATGGATTTCAGGTCGAGCTGCAAGCAACCGATCCGACTGAGATGGGGCTTGATGTCATTCGAAGCCGAGTTGGCTGAATGCTACATCGACCGATTCAGGTGAACGGCATCAACATCCCTGCATATCTTCTGTTCGAGGTGAACGAGTGTCTTGGTCGTGGTTTTGTGGTATATAATGTGTTTTGGATTTATGTTCTAAATGGTCTTTTGTATGAGTTCGAGCTAATAAGGCTCTTAGTTTTTCAACTATATATACAATTTCATCCTTTAGGGAGATATTGCAGCAGAATGCCATCAGATTCCAGCTGCTGTTCTACCTATGCTCCACAGATTGATATACAAGAGGATTGGATATCCGTACTTGAGCAAATATTGGTGTAATTTTCCTTTAGCGTTCTTCTTTAGAAGCTGAGAAAAGTATTTATTTGCTTGGAAGTAATCGCCCTACTTTTTATATTGTTTTTTAAGTTTTAGTTTTTCCTTAATAAATTCACATTCTCGTTAATAAAGGCTAAATCAAAGGAGAAAAAATCATTTCAAGGAAAAAAGTTGCTAATATTTAGCGTAATAATAATTGCAAGTTTTAAGAAATGGGTAGAAATTTTAATAATAATTGCAACAAATAAATGAAAGCTAGTTTAATGATAATTAATTTAGTTACTTTAAACTAATTAATACAAAACTAATAGAAAGGACTAAAAGTGGGCTTAAATCTTGAAGTTGGTAGGCCCATTAAAAAATTAAATTCAAGTTTTTTTTTTTAAAAAAGTGTTATTTTAAAATTTAGGACCAAATGACCAATAAGGACCCAATAAATTACCCTTTTTTTTTTTTTTTTTTATCAACTTCGTTTAAATTTTAGAATCAGATGGATACCGGACCGGTAGGTAGCTTAGAACTTGGGAGATGTTCCGAATAAGGCCACCAATGCAACGCCCTACCATCGTGTGGCGAGCCAAATGGGGAAAATTTTCACGGAAGCAAAAATCGTGATCGGCCAGCGCTCTTCTCATCTCACATTCGATTTTTCGCATCAAACAAACAGAACATTTCGACCTCAATCGAGCTTAATTTAATCGAAACAATAACCCTTTTGATTGTCTTCACTTTCAGCCGGCAATTCTCCTGGGTTGACCTCATCCGCTTGGGTTCTTCTTATAAGGCGTTTCTACGAGCAAATCGGATTGAAACGCCGAGACCATGGATCATTCGGATCCTGTAGGCGAAGAGGCGCGATTGCTAGTTAGTAACGCGCCAATTCGAGCTCCGGTGAATCATGCGAGAGATGTTCATGTTTTGAGCTTTGCTTTTCTCTTAATTTTCCTTGCTTATGGAGCTGCGCAGAACTTGGAGAGCACTGTTAATACAGTAAGTTTCTGTTTCTATTCACTCTGTTTGTTCTGTATTCTTCTGGTATTTGTGGAGAATGTTGAAGAAATGGACGAGAAACCTATATCAGTTCATGTTTTGTACGGGTCTTTTTTGGGGTTTGATTTGAGCTGAGTATTTTTGTTTGGCCGTGGAATTTCCATTCAGGAGGAGGATCTGGGGACTACCTCGCTCGGGATATTGTATTTATCTTTCACGTTTTTCTCTCTGGTGGCTTCTTTGGTGGTTCGAGCTTTGGGGACTAAGAACGCTTTGGTTCTTGGAACTACTGGTTATTGGTTGTTCATAGCTGCAAATTTGAAGCCAACATGGTAAGATTTTTCATACTCTCAATCAACGTGAGCTTGAGAGTTCATCTTATAAATATACTGTTAACTCAATGTTGAGGTGATTGTAAAAGTTGAGATGATTTTCCGAACACTTTCAGGTTTACAATGATTCCTGCTTCTGTCTACCTTGGCTTTGCTGCTTCAATAATATGGGTTGGGCAGGTGCAATGTAGTAAATATTTTCAGACTATTATAGCAATTTCACAATAATTGCAGTGAACACATCTGTGATATAATGAATTTCTCAGGGTACATATCTCACTTCAACTGCACGTAATCATGCGAGAAACAATGGCTTACATGAAGGAACTATCATTGGCAACTTCAATGGAGAGTTTTGGGGAGTATTTGCAAGTCACCAGGTGAATCCATGGATTTAAAGTTTATGAACTTTTGTTCATCAAGAAATGTTATCAACTTAACAGTAAGGTTCATACCTTTTTAAAGTGGTAAATTTCTGCAGGTCATTGGAAATATTATCTCTCTCGTTGTTCTGAAAAATGAAACAGTATGTATCCTCCTTTTATTTACTTTCTCAAGGAGTTCCATTTTAGAGTTTGCACGTTCGATCCTGTTAAAAACAACTATAATGATGTCGAATCATGCAATGCTGTTTGAGACCTTTGATCGCATCTATAGATTGAATCGTGTGTTTTTGCCCCGTGAATGCTGCAGGGTGGAAGAACCAATGGAACAACTATATTGTTCATTATCTTCCTTTGCATTGTGACATTAGGTATAGCACTTATGTGCTTCTTAAGGAAGGAAGACAGTAAAGAAGAAGAACCCTCATTGTCCTCGTCCAGCCTACGTGTCTCTATATTGTCTTTGTCAAAGTCGGTCGTTGCTCCGCTGACTAACGTAAGAATGATCTTGGCCATTCCTCTGATAGCATATTCAGGACTACAGGCGGCATTTGTTTGGTAATTACTGAAACAAAGTAGAAGTATTGCATGCTCTCTGTTGCAGTAGACTATGCTTTTCCTGACTAAGCATTCAAGAGTTTCAAACACAGGGCCAAGTTCACGAAACAAGTCGTCACACCATCTCTTGGCGTGTCGGGGGTTGGCGGTGTGATGGCAATTTATGGAGCCTCTGATGCAATTGTAAGTATGCTTACTTGTTCCTTTTGTTTTATTCCTTCAACTAGTTACAATCCTAATTTGATTGGAGGAAATTGATGAACAAAGTATATTGAAATATAGAGTAACAACTACCAGAAAAACCATGTGTCTGGAGGTACTACTTGGACGCTCCACTCTCGAGCTATCTCTCAAGTCCTAATTCATTATCCAAAATAAGGTCTAACTTCCCCCTTCCCCCTTCCCCGTTCCCCATTCCCTCTGTTTATTACCAAATACCTTCCCCCAACTAATTACAACTATACCTTTAATACTCTAATTGTATCGGTCCAAGCCCACCACTAACAGATATTGTCTTCTTTGGATTTTTCCTTTCGGACTTCCCCTCAAAGTTTTTAAAACGTGTCTGCTAGGGAGAGGTCTCCACACTCTCATAAAAAATACTTCGTTTCCCTCTCCAACTGATGTGGGATCTCACAATCCAGGAGACCAGCATCCTCGCTAGCACTTGTTCCTCTCTCCAATCGATGTGAGATCTTACACTAATAGTATTCCTAATCTTATTCTACTACCACTCCCATCAGAAGTATGCATTAAGCTTGCAAAGGTAGATTATATATAATGGCTGTTCGTCCAAGTTAGTAGAGGGAAGTTACTTGAATACTTCGGCAATCTCTCTCTTTCTCATGATTTTGGCCATGGCTCATGACTCATGTCCTGCACATTCATATCTTCACTTCCAACTATTTATCTTTCATCAAAGCTACGCTAGTAGAAAAAGTGAGATTTTAGTGTTTTTTGTTCTTGTCTTTCTAGTGTTCATTGGTTGCTGGTCGTCTTACATCTGGGCTCCCATCAATCACTTTCTTAGTATCTGGTGGAACTGTTTTTCAAGCTATTGTTTTTACTTGGCTTCTACTGGGACAGAGGTTAGCAGCATTGGAAAACCTTTTACTTTTAGGATTATTTTGTAATAAATACTAAGCCATTACTCTTGAAAGCAGTGAAACACTTGGCGCTGTATACCTGCTTCTCATATCAGCCTTACTTGGGATTGGTGATGGAGTTTTCAACACACAGCTGAATGCTCTGATCGGAATACTCTTCAAACATGACACGGTACTCATTCATCCTTCCTTGCTTTACCAAGATCGGAATACTTTTAAGTCTCTCAACATGTAACAATTTCACACAATCTAATGCCATCCCATTGTGTTCCTCATATTATGTTGATTGTTTCTTAACAAAAAGTCACTCAATCCTGGGTTTCTTCAAATGAGTGTTATGTTTCGGTTCACAGGAAGGAGCGTTCGCCCAGCTGAAGGTCTGGCAGAGCGCGACCATTTCGGTCGTCTTCTTTCTCAGTCCATACATTTCGATGGAGGCAATGCTGGTGTGTATACTTTCTGTTCTCTGCCTCTCATATGTTTGTTTCCTGACCTTAACTGTTTGGGTAGAGAAATCATTCTCTTCAACATTCTAATGTAATGTCTACACACAGTTATGTGTGTGCCTACATTTATGTTATTGCTGCTAAACAAATATTCCAAACATGTCTTAATTCGAAGAACTCGGATTCACCGGAGTATGAAAAGGGTCATCAAGATAGATGGCTAAATTTAAATACCGATTTTTCAGATTAGTGCTTGGTTGCTTCTCGATGGTTTTTCTTTTTTACTGATTGAAAAGGGGAATACATATCTTCCTTATTAGTTGTCGTCAAAAGGATATAAAAAGATATAGAAACCTCATATTTGCTTGCTTTTGACTTCTTTTTATAAAGAGAGTAAGGGGGCGGTACGGAAGATTGGTCCATTCGGCAAAGCTGAGCTTGTTGGTTCGCTTCTCCGACCTTCTTACAAGTCTGCCTCATTTCTCTTGATGGAATATAACAGCATCCAAACTTAAAATACTAAATGACTTTCTTTTTTTTAAAACATGAACAAAATATCCTTTAATAGTTTTGATAACATAGCATCCAACATGAATATTCAAGAAATTATACGATTATATTTAAAAAAAACACACTTTAATACCGTAGACATGTAACTTGAAGCTCTAGAGTCACTTCTTTTCATACTTTAGAAATTGAACTGATCAAGTCCTCGCTAAAGTTCCAAAGTTTCTTTGCAAGTGCTTCGTCTCTAGCATAGGAGCTTGGTCGCTTCTCGTTGTTGTCCAAAAAGTATTTCCCACTCACTCCCTTCAAGTTCTGGTGCAATGCCACATAGCATGTTGTTGATGCGCCCTAAAACAAACACTTCTTCGTGATTTTTTCATTCAAGACTTATAACTCTTTAAAAATGGTAAACATCTCCAATACCTCTTCTAATGTAATAGATTAATTACTATCTTTAAATAATTACACCCCAAAACTATATTATATTAGTTATTTCTGAAAATAATCAAACCAATACATTAAATAGAAAATTTTAATTAAAAAATTGGAGAAAATTTCATTATAAAATAAGAAATATAATAAGAAGAAGAAACAATTGCTTTAATGTACCTGAGGGACATTCTTCCATATAAAGAAGGTGAAAACCCGCAAAAGCCCTAGAGAGATCAAGAAACGAAGGTGGGTAAGTGACGATATGTCGTCAAAGTAAAGAAAGAACAAAAGGGATTCGACATATCGTACGCATTAGAAGCTTAGAATGCCTCATAAGGGGCGTCATTATCAACCCCGGATGCACCGCGTTCGCCGTTATGTTCACGCCCTCTTCCTACAACCACCAATAATTTTTTCAATTATTTTATGAATTATTTAATACCATTCTCATTACTAACAAAAAAAAATAATTGTCTAAAATCAATTTAGATAATGAAATTTTTAATTTAAAAGTATAAGAAAATTACTTGAAATCGACGAGTAAGCTCCTTGATATGTAAAATGTTGGCTAATTTAGATTGCCCGTACGCCCTTTTATCAGAATACCTACCAAGTAATAACTTAGGTTAATAATCGCATCCAAATAAATAAATAAATATACAAAATAAAAAAAAAAAATACCCTTTCTTTTCATTGATTTTGTTGAAGCGAATTCCATGGCCATAACTGTGGACATGAGCTATAGATGATAAATTGACGATTCTACCCTCAATTCCTGTGCTTTTTGCAGTGTTCTTCATTTTCTCAAGAAGAAGGTTTGTTAGCAGAAAATGACCTAAAGAAAATAATAAAATAATTAAAGTATTAATTAAGTTTATATAAATTAAATATAAAAATTAGAGGTATTTTTTGTGTATATTACCAAGATGGTTGGTGCCAAACTGCATCTCTATCCCATCTTCAGAGAGTTGAAATGGGCAAAACATAACACCAGCATTGTTTCTGAAATTAAACATTTTAAAAAACTATTTTAAACTTTTATAAATATTTCAAAATTATTCTTTGAATACAAATATTTTATCATCGTGATAGTTACTCATTTTATAATTAAATTTGAATGAACGACATTCAACGGGCAATTTTGATTTTTTTTTTTTAAATAATAATTTGGGCTAAATAAAAAGGATAGAAAGGAATTTACATTAAAATGTTGAGAGGGAGATTGAGAGCAATGAAATTTTGAGCAAATTGTGTTGTGGAAGTGATGGATGAAAGGTCAAGTTTGAGAACATCCAATTTGGCCGATGGATTTTGTTGGAGAATTTGTTGTTTTGCTTTATTTGCTGCCTCTACGTTTCTTGCCCCTATAATCACATGTGCCTTTCGCATTGCTAAAACTCGTACCGTTTCTAGCCCGATCCCGCTCGCTCCTCCTACAACAAAACTATCATATCTCAATAACAGTTGAATAAGATTAACTACAAATAGTTCTAAAATTTTGAGATCTTGTGAGATCTCACGTCGGGAGAGAGAAACAAAACATTTTTTATAAGGGTCTGAAAATCTATCTTTGCTAAAATGACAATATCTGCTAATAGTGGGATTGTAATGTTACAAATAGTATTAAAGTCAGACACGGGACATGCTGGGTGTAACAACTCAAGCCCAACCGCCAGTAAATATTGTCTTCTTTGAGCTCTCTTTCAAGCTTTGTCTTAAGTTTTTAAAACATGTCGGTCAAATATAAGTTTTTACACCCTTATAAATAATGTTTTGGTTTCCTTCCCAACTGATGTGAGATCTCACGCTCGATACCAACAGTAGATTGTGAGATCTCACGTCAGTCAGTTAGAGAGGAGAACAAAAGATTACTTATCCTCCCTAGTAGACGCGTAAACAGAAAGTCAAAAGAAGACAAAGTTTCATAAAATTTAAATTTACATCACAATTAATTTTTTAAGGTTACAAATTTGTGATTTAAAAACTCAATTTTTAAGGTTTAAAATTTTAATTTTAAAGTCAAAGATTTCCTACTTTTGATTTGAACTTCAGAAAAGTTGACTTTCAGAAGACTTGGGAAATCCAACAAACATGGAAGTTTAAGAAATCCTTTCAAAATAATATAAAATAAAAGAAGGAGAGAGAGAGAGAGAGAGAGAGAGAGAGAGAGAGAGAGGTGACCGGTGACAATGACTGTAAGGCCGCTGGCGTCGATCCCTTGGGTGACATCCTCCGCCGTAGATGCGGATCCGAAGCCGCTGAGCCCCGGCCATCCAGTGATTAAGGAAATGATCGACATCGATTTCTTTCAAGAAACACAGCAACAATTTTCTCACCCTTGATTTGACGACGGAAGCGGCGGCGGCGGCGGCGGCGGCGTAAGAAAAGAAAGAAAGAGGAGATAAATTTATAGAGCGTTTTGGAGGGAGGAGGAAGGGAAGGGACGAGGGAGGTAAATTTAATGTGATGGGGATTTGACATAGTAAATAGCATGCTGTTTGGTTCAACCATTTTTTCAAAAACTTCAATACCCGCCCCCCAATAATTCATATTTAATATTTATCAACAACTTTTTTTTTTTTTTTTCTCATTAAAACCTTAAATTAATAACTGTATCTCATTTCTACAAAATATCATTTAAAACTAAGAAATAAAAATAAAAAATTGTTGGAGTTCATATTTAATGTCACAACACCATAAGGTTATCATCAATATTCTTTCTAAATTCAATGAATCATAATTAAATATAATTTGTTGCCTTTTAATTCACCAATCAAATTTTGTCTTTTTTTTTTAATTATGTAAAAATATGCTTAGCTAAACTCTCTCATTTAATTTATAAAATTTTCATCTATTAAAATATATTATTGTAATTGGCCAATACAAGTTATATTATTGTACCCTACGCATTAATGAAAATAAAATAACTATAATTAATGCCAATAATTTAAACGGACATCAACCAACTTCACATTATTGATCAAATTTTCATATTCATTTTTTCCTTTTTTTAATTTAAAAAATTCCTTTTTTTTTTTTTTTTTTTAGTGATAATTTTGAGGTTCCCATTAAATGGCTTTCTCCTCCCTATAATTTAGTATTATCATAGCAATTTATGTGCCGAAAAAATAGATAATTTTTTTAATAAAATTTAAAATTTGTTCCACTTCCATGCATATTAAATATTAAATTCATTAAGCTTTACCTTCACATTTTTATTATAAGCTTTTAATTTAATCATTTAAAAATTTATTTTTTTAAAAAAACGTGATTTTATGTGTGTTTTAAAAAATTATAAATAATGTTTGGCATGATATTGATAAGAAGATCCTAAGAGTAGTGGATCGTACATTGGGCCAATTTTCTTCAACGAGGAAGAAAGCCCAAGAGCAAACCCGCGTAGCTTGTCGGCCCATTTAGTTGGTTTAGTGGGCTCAGGCCCATTTTCGATGGGTAACTTTTGTATGGAAATGGGCCTAACTAGGCCCAAGTGTTAAACAGAAGAACATTCGACCAAAGAAAATGAAAATTTAAATAATAAAAAATTAAAAACAATATTTATAGCGCGAGTGGAATGCATATGAATTCCTCTTTCGTTCCTTCTTGTTGGAACGAACCGCTAAAAAGGAGGAGGTTTCGACGATTTGTGGAGGGTGTCGGTGTGTCTCGCCGAAACAGGAAGAGGTTGAAGCAACGAAGGAAGAAACTGATTTGAATTTGAGGTTGCGCTTTAATCGCCCGCCCTCCTTCCCTTACATTATTCAACAGTTTTTTGTTTACATTTTTCTCAGATTTTTCTTCTGTTTTCGGATTTTCCGATTACCTTTCTTTTTCTTTACTTTTAATTCTTCGAATTCATTTGGATCTGATCGAAATGGCGGCGTCACGGCGGCTACGGGACCTTCAATCACGGCCGGGGAATAAGGTCTGTGTTGATTGCTCCCAGAAGAATCCGCAATGGGCGTCCGTTTCGTATGGCGTTTTCATGTGTTTGGAATGCTCCGGGAAGCACCGTGGCCTTGGTGTTCATATATCTTTTGTTAGATCCGTTACAATGGATTCTTGGTCTGAGATCCAGATCAAGAAGATGGAGGCTGGGGGTAATGAGCACCTCAACGCCTTTCTTGCGCAATACGGAATACCTAAGGAGACGGATATTGTGACTAAATACAATTCTAGTGCGGCTGGAATTTACAGGGATCGAATCCAAGCCCTTGCCGAGGGCCGATCTTGGAAGGATCCACCGGCTGTGAAGGAAAACATTGGAGCAGGAAAATCGAGGCCTCCATTGGCGCAAAGTGCTAGTGGAGGAGCAGGCAGCGGAGGGAGTAAGGTGAACAACGGAGGTTGGGATAATTGGGATAGCGACGACAATTTTAAACCGTCCAACGATATGATGAGGCGTAACCAATCGACTGGCGATGTTCGAGGCATGGGCGGTGGAGGGGTGCATTCCAGGTCCAGATCGACCGAGGATATTTACACACGGTCTCAATTGGAGGCCTCTGCTGCAAATAAAGACAATTTTTTCGCTAAGAAGTTGGCCGAGAATGATTCCCGGCCCGAAGGACTTCCGCCATCACAAGGAGGAAAATATGTTGGATTTGGCTCCTCCAACAATCATGTACCATCTCCAAGAAATGATCCCCAAAGTGACGTTTTCTCTGTTGTTTCTCAGGTATTATGAAGATTCTTCTGTTTGAATTTTCATTTAAGCTTGCTTGCTTGATCAATTGATGCATCGTTTCCTTTCAGGGATTTGGTAAATTATCTCTGGCTGCTGCCTCTGCCGCTCAGTCGGCTGCAAATGCTGTTCAAGCAGGCACAAAGGAGCTGACAACCAAGGTACGTACACTGAAATTGATATCATTATTGAAGAAGAATGAATTTGAGTGATTTGTTTATACAGGTGAAGGAGGGAGGGTATGATTACAAAGTGAATGAAACGGTGAATGTTGTGACAGCAAAAACAACAGAGATTGGGCAAAGGACATGGGGAATCATGAGAGGTGTAATGGCAATGGCATCATTGAAGGTGGAAGAGTACGCCAAAGATGGGATGAACTGGAAGAACGATGGGGGGCAAGGAAACGAGACTGAGAAAAATGAAGAAATTGAGGAGAAGGAGAATGATAAGAAAGGAGGATGGAATTGTTCTTCTGGTGGAACAGGACAAGCATCAAACTCTTGGGATGATTGGGATAATAGTAATACCAAAGACAACAGCAAAGAGGAAGGAACAACCAAAGGGAGTGGATCCCATAGTAATGATGGGTGGGCTGGGTGGGATGATCACAAAGATGATGGCTACGACGATCACCATTATGAAGCATCTGTTCCCAAAACTGTGGGCCAAAGCGGTCAAAGTGGGAAGGCCGGTGGCGGTGATACATGGTCGGAGGGAGGGTTTCAACTCTGAGGTAAAACCTCCAATCATAAACACTCTGCTTATTATGTTGTACTTCAACAATTTAATTCTCTCTACGTTTGATTTGTAATGAATAGAAATTAATGACACTTCAACAATGAAAATTTATTTGGTTACAAAATTGGTCTCGATAACCATTATTAAGCTAACTACTTTTTTGTTCCAACTCTAATTAATTAACATCCTCCACATTTATTATACTAAATAAATTAGAAAAATAAATAGAAAAAAATGAATGTTGTTTTTTTTATTATATATATAAATGGAATCACTGGTAATATTGCAATGTTTATAAATTTAATAATTCTATTATTTGTTTATACATGGTATTAAAATTGAAAATCACAAAAGACTCTTGATCGCATTAGTGTATGCATATTGTTTTGACACCTTGGTTCTTTCAACAAGGGGACAAAATCTAGAAATCCCCACGAATTCTTTATTAACACCGTTTCGAACACAACGAGTACATTCCAAAATAACTATTACCCGGACATCTTTACCTTTGGCCATGAACCTCCCTTGTATTTTCGATGCATATATTATATTCATCTTCTTCACATAATTACCGATCTCAACTTGATAGATGATAGATTCCCATCTGTATCGTCCCAATTCTACGGGTCCAGATTAGGTTCTTGTACTCATCCAATTTGGTTGGTTCAGATTTTGGATATTTAAATCCCATAAGATAGGGAAATTCAGGAGCATTAGCAACTCTGTTAATACAGAGCAGTATACGCATAAAAGAAGACTAATAATAATACAGTAAATTGAAAAAACAAAAAATACAATAAACAGATTGAGGTCCGTACAATTCTTATCTTGTGGTATAAGTTAGTAAACTGATCACAACAACCATGGCAACAAACAAGACCGCAACCTTTAATTCTCTTTCACAACTGAACTGCCTATCTCAACTTAATATTAGATTTCACTCCATGCAGCGGTCTAAGGCAAACATGAACCTCGTGTTCTTCTGAACCTTCCTGGAGTTTGGGGACCATGATCTCAAGAACAGATCCTGGTCCGTCGTAGTACGCTTCAATGTTAGCATCTTCAGGAATTCGAGTCAAAAGAGGAATCTCTCTCACGAATTCACCTGGAGGACAATGTTCGGTAGACGAATCTAAAAGCTTGAAAGTTCTATCGTGCCTCTTGATGAACGGTACTCGAGATGTACTCACACAAGAAACCTTTATAATACCATGTGTGAGCGTGTTCCTCCACGAAACTTTGACCCTTTGTAGATCCACAAATGGCAAACTGATAATTATTAAGTAGCCTTCACCGTCTTCATATATTGCCTTTGCAGCTGTAACAGGCCCGTGGCTGTTCTTCATAACTCCACTGAAGTCGTTCAACCACTGTACGCCATTCGAGTGCTTGTCCATATTCGAAATCCAGTCGGGAGGATTGACCACCAATGCGCAATCATCGTCGTTCATTTTAGGAGATGAGCTTTTCCTTCTCTTGCTGGTAACAGATGATAGATCCATCATATCACAGTTGCTGAGGGTTGACATCTGGTTTGATAAATTTAGCGTCGATCCGTTGAGCAATTTCTTCGGTTGAGGATTTAAAGCACTCTTGACGGAAGGAACTGGCCTCTCGAGTTCAAAATCTGGGCTAGGAAGGTTCCTCCATGAGCTAAAATCACTTGCTTCAGGTGGGATAGCGAAGTTAAAGTCTCTACCTGTTAGGTCTACCCATCTCTTTCGTAGTTCCTTGTCGAGAGACATTAGGTTCGGAGACTCAACAACCTCGATCCCATGTACACACTGAGGATTCGAGAGACCCCTATAATGCTTCCGTTGCATTCTATGTGATCGAACGAACCCTTTCTCAGCACCAAATGGGAAAGGAGGCTCGCCTTGGCGAGAATGCCCGTTCATATAACTTCTAAGCTGCATTTTACCTAATGCATTTTCCGGCTTCTCCTTGAAAGCCCACATGTACATGTTCTCCATGTCATGTTGGACCATAAAAACATCGACCTTAAGATCCGACTTCTCGAATCCCGAAACACCTTTGCTGTCACGAATAATCTTAGCCTTCGATTTCTCATTTATCACAGGCTTGAAGTAGAAACTAAAGAAGAACCATGCACCCCAAATGCTGTCTACTCGCTTGGTACATTTTCTTACAACCTTTGGAACAGTAAGAAAAGTTTCAGTATCATAAACTTGTGAAGCAAGCCCAACATCTAAAATGTTACAATGATCAGAACTCCATGGCTGCAAAGTGTAGCTGCATTCATTCGATAAAGGTAAGTTTATGTCGGGTGGACGGGAGGAGACGATCTGTCTCTTCATTTCCAAATCCAGTTCTTCGTGAGACGAGGCACTTGGATCCATGAATAAAAGTGTTGATGGATGATGATTCTCTAGTGAAAGGGCTGTGAGGAGAGAATCTCCCATTTCAGCTCATCTCTTATGGAGCCATGTTTGTTTCTGAGAGTTCAATATTGAAATTGCAGATGCGAAAAAAGGAAGAAAAAAAAAAAAAAAGAACAGAACAACGCTGACTGAAGAAAATAACGCTGTAAACACTCTGATGATGTCAATCTCCAGTGTATCTTCCCTCCATCAAAACCCTAGATTAACCAAACGGAGAACAAATTGCTTACAGACTCGATGATCAAAGAATAATGAACAAAGAATCCCAATAGAAACAGATAAGCGGAAGAACAGCATCATAAACACAGAAGAAAATCCAATCCACAACAAACAGAAACCAATTTCTATTCAAACATCTACTTCTCAATCTCCATTGCCCTATATTGAATCGAAACCTACCTTAAAAAAAAAAAAAGAAAATGCCCTAAATCACTGGGAAACGCCGATTTCAGATCTCAAAATTCCCCCAATCAAATCCATCATAGAAATCAACAATTACAAGAAATGGTGGAGAAAATCTAAAGAAAATCCAGAAATCGAAGGGATCTACCTTTTGGGATAAGCATCGGGAAATCGAGAAGTAGAAGGGCCTCCAAAACCGACAACAACGTTCATCTCCATTGCGTCGTCAACAACCATCCCTCAATAGCTTCAGTTCTTCAATTTCTCCTTGTTCCTCTTGCCCCCCCTCTCCTTCCCAACCCCCGAAAAAGAGATAAAATGGAACCAAACAGGGGCGCGGCAGGTTCAACAAAATGGGGAACGAGTGATTTTGGAGGCAGATGCCGTAGAGGCTTGCTTTATAGAGAAATTTGGATGGTCAAAACCACAATCACAGCATATCCCACATCACAAAAATCTTTGTTGCCTTTATATTCTCCACTTTTTTACTGGACATGGAAATATTTGTTATCAAGACAAACCCAAATAGCTCAACTTTAGATTTAAGAATAAAGTTTGTTCATACGCAATAAGATCACCACTTCCCATTTCCCATAAAGTGAAATGGAGTTTGTTATTTTATTAAAGATTGATTTGAAGAAAGGAAAAAAAGGGGAAGGAAAGAGGAAAGTGCAGAGCATTCTTACAACAAACAGGTGGAACAACACAAGTTGATTTAGATCAATGATTACGTTACAATAAGCTCTATTACAAATATTATATGATATAACCCATCGCCATTTTCTACTCTCAATTTCAAATCATAATTTAAACCTAAAGTATTTGATCATTTCATAGAGTCAAGAGTCAAGTATAGCTTTCAATTAATTTGAGTTGTCGAATTCAAATTAATTAAAGAAAACCGATTAATAAAATTAGACCGAGTCTACCATTTAAGACTGCATCCACTTTCTTCTAAACTTAAGTTATCTAAACCGTTTTCTAAACCTTCAAACTAGGATGTCAAACTTACGCGTCTTAGTATTTCAATCAGGTTCCTAAATTTTTAAGTGAGTATAATTCAATAAATGATATATGGAAAATGTAAACAAGTAGGGTGCTTTGCTTTTATATTCTTGTGGTGCATATTCATTTCAATATATTCAGCTTTATTTATTTATTTTTATTTTTAGGTTCCCTATCACAATAAAATATCTCCAATTTTTCCGCCTCAAAAGAAACCAATAATATACCCTAAGTCACACCTCAAAGCTTTACATATCTTTTGACTTATTCCTATTATAAATTATAAATACTAAATTTAAATTAAATATATATTTTGCCTTTTCAGAGATGTTCTACCAAATATATATATATATATATAATTACATGGTATAAATTAAATATAAAAGGTATATTTTTAATTTTACCATGATTACTTGACTTTTTACTTATGTTAGTCCGTGATTAATTTAAATATTCGACCTAAAATATGAGAATTTGGATTTTGAAATTTAACTCAAAATGATTCCATTTATTTTTTTAAAATTAATAATAATGTTTATATGTAATTAAATGTGTGTTCAATTATCTTATTATATATTTATAATGGAACATTACGTTAGACTTAGTCTACATCTAAATAATGACACTTTAAGGCGGATAATGATAAGTGGGTGATAATTTTGACCATGCCATGTTCCTACTTATCCCGCTTTTAAATTAAAAATGTTAATATATATATATATATATATTTTATTTCTATGCTCCTTACATTCAAAAGTGGCAACCAAATAAATATGACTTGGAAATGTTTTTGGATATTATACATTGAAAAGAGTAAAAAATAAAGTATTGTTATTATTATTAAATAAATAAAAACTCATGTGAATTCTTGATTCTCAAGTGGGTTTGGTAATTAAATATAAATTTAATTTCTTATTTTAATTATTGACTCCTAAGTCCTACCTGCCTTCCTAACCCTTTAATTTTTTTATAATTTTTATTTTTAATTGCCCACCTCACTCATTAAATATTCACAATAATTCCCATTTTTTAAACACAATTATTTTTTATTCTCATTTTCAAATGAATAGGTCATGAAAAATATTTTTAAAAATAAAAACGAGTTTAAAATGTTATAATTTTTTTTAATTGGAACTATGATTAATTGGGCTGGGAGAGGTATACACTTTGGAACTTAATGGGCCTTAACATCGTCTTTATGGTCCAGTAAAAGGATAAATGGGCTTGCTCATGGCCCACATTTCCAAGCTGCATAGCCATCATGCTGACGCAGCCGCAACCCCTCAATTATTGCATTCCTCATCCTTATTTAACCAAATATTTTCCTTACCTAATCAATTTATTGCTATTATTTTTTACAAAAAGAAAAAAAGAAAAAAAGAAAAATTAATTCATTTTATTATGTGAAATTAATTTTGTTTTGTCTCATTAAAAACTAATAACCTTACGAATCCGAACAAAAATAATAAAACTCGAATCTTGTACCTGAGCTCCCAATTGATAAGAAACCATGTCCCAAATGGACACCAGCGCCGCCCTGATGAATCGATCGACGCCGCCGCACCCGACGCCACATCGGACTAACGATTTCTCTCCAATTGAATTCATTCTCGGCCTCATCGCTGTCATCGCCATCCCCGCCCTTGTCTACTCCTTCTTCTTCGCCATCAAGTGCCCGCCAGGTCTCCTCCGCCTCTGGCGCCGGAGATCCGCTAGGCTCTCCGGTGCTCCTGTCACCGTTGTAGCGGGAAATCGTTCTTCTTATAGTGATGTGGCTGTGACCTTTAAGTACAACAAGGACGAGGTTGGTAAGGAAGTCGGCAACGAATGTCCTGTATGCTTGTCGGCGTTCGTTGACGGCGAGGAGATCCGGCAACTCATCGCCTGTAAACACTCTTTTCATGTGGATTGCATCGATATGTGGTTCTACTCACACCCTAATTGCCCGGTTTGTCGCGCCGAGATCGCCATCGCTGTTAAGCGGCCGATTAATAACCGCGCGCCGCGGCGACCGGCGGCTTCTAGAAGCGACGATTTCCATCAAGGACTGCCGGATGCGGGAAATTTAGTTTGAAATTCTTCTTTCTTCTTCCATCTCTGTATGTAGCGAGATTCCGATTACTGCAAATTCGAACAAATTACGTTCAAATCTCATCTCGTTTTGGTGAAGTTGAGTTGACAGTTGGGAATTAGATCGGTTTCAATTCCAATAGCTTTGAAAATTAGGTTGTTTTTTATTCTGAAATTCAGAGCGCAAGATTGAACTTTATCTTTATATTCTAAAAAAATAGAAAATTAATTCTAAAATTGTAACATTTTATTTTATTTAAATTAGTTTTAGAAACTAAATTTAAATAAAAACAAAATGAGCCTCCGTAGATATATATGAGAAATAAGATTTAATGCATATTAAATTATAATATAAATGGTTATAAATTAACATTTTGGATCTCATGAATCCATTTTGTTTTCATAGAATTTGGGATAAAAAATAATAATAATAATAATAATAAGGACAAAGGTCTTATTATTAGTAGAAATTCTTGAAGAACAAGAAAATGAAACCCATTTTAACTAACTTAACTGTAAATAAGTGCAAATTGGTTTAACAGTTTTTTTTTTTTTTTTTTTTTTTTCC